AGGCGCCCAGCCAATCTTTGGTAGTTTAAAGGAAAGTAGTGATGAATAATACCTACCTTGTAGCATAATGGAAGATTAAATGCTAATATCTGCCAGGCCCACCTGCTTGGCCTGCAGGAATAGCTGTCATGTCCTCCTTTCCTGACCAAAGTATCCATCACACTGTCCTCTCACCTGGACTCTGCACACGGTTGGGGGGAGCCTCCCTCAGGTTGGAAAGGCTGATAACTTTCCAAAGTGGACACGCCCAACTGTGTGGTTTTTTTCTCTTTTTTTAGCAACCCCTGGGGAGGATTATCTTCATCAATAGCTGGGGAAGGGTCAGCACCATTAGTGTTTGAGGCTGTGTCTCTGGAGCTGTGGCCCCTTCCCAGGGCACTGGGGACTTGCCATCACGTGGGCCCATGCAGCCCCTCTCATGCTGCATGTGTGGCCCCCATGTCCTCTATCCCTGCTCCTGAGCCTTGTCTATACCAGCCACCTGCTCTCTCATGCACCCATGTGTGCTTTCTTATCTCCCAGGTTTGCTCATGCTGTATTCTCTGCCTCCCTTCACTTTGAACTCCTGTGCTATGATACCTGTCTTTTGAGGTCCAAGATTAAGATCTATGAGGGGGACCACTGCCTGCTCTCATGCTCCCGTCCCAGCTCACCGTGGTCAGCGTCCCACACCAGACTGGATGCTTCTTGAGAAATGGCCACAGCAGTGGACCAAGAAGCATACACTCTGGGGAGAGCTGGGGGTGAATCCAGCCTCACCCCCTCCTGACACCTGACCTTGGGAAAGTCATTTATCCACTGTCCTTCATCTTTAAAATGGGACAACAGTACCTGCCTTGTAGGATCGCTATGAAGATAAAATGAGGTGCCAACAGCTCCGAACTGAACCCAGCAGATGGCCAGGGTGCCACTGGCTACTATTTGGAGCCTTAGTTTCGAGTACATGGGAAGTACAAACTGAGAACTAAGGGCCAGCTGTGAATGCAAATTGCTTGGATCCTAGGGGAAGAGGCCAGGTGTGGTGACTGGGCAAGGTGGAGGATGAGAATGTTTAACTTACTCAGGAAAAAATATGCAAGAATGGTCTGAGGAACCCAGGCCCCGACCCAGCTGGCATCATAGTGCAGGACTCCTCCCTGCAGCCTGGCATCGGATTCTCCCTCTCGCCCTCCCCAACATACACAACTGTGTTATTTCCAGGCAAATCGCAGACGTCTTAAAGGAGCTTTCAAAAAGAGAAAATATAATGCTATATTATCTTCATCATGACTTGTGGCTGTGCATATAGGAAGATGGCCTGGTCCACAGAGGGGAAGATGAGGCTGAGAGGCGCAGGTGCCCCACAGGCTGCCAGGCCAGGCTCTTCCCGGGATACCCGGGAAAGCTCATGGATCTCTCACCAGCTCTCTCAGGACCCTCCCCACCCTCAGTCACTTTTGAGGCAGCTTGAGATATTGCACCTAAAAAATCAAACAATAGTGGCCTTTTACCAATTCAGAGAAAAGTCATGTTAATGGATGGAACTCTCAGTAGAGCTTTCCCTCACACACTTTCCTATGGTTGTCTTCACCCGTCCTGTCCTGTGCATGGGGCTCAATGGCTCCTGGTGACCTGCTGTCCACGTGGCCAGAAACTCTTCTCTGCCTGGACCCTCTGGGGGCTCTGAGAGGGACAGCAACTCCAGTGCTGGTTCTTCTATGGTGGGGGCAGCTTCTTCCATGGGACAATCCTTTCAAGAGAATGGCTGAACTTGGCCCTGACTCTGGCAGGAGAGTAAAGGGGTTACTATTGTTAAACCAATAGTTCATGGAAATGATGCTCAATATTTTGGAAAAAAAAGAGAAGACAGGCACGCCCGTCAGTGGGCAGTATATGGAAAACCACACAGAAATGAGGGTATGTCAGCATGGGTGAAGAAAATCCAGTCTAAATTTCACGAAAGCTATGGCAATCCTCTAAGAGTTGTTACTCTTCATCTGAAATTACTGAAACAGGACAGAGTGAATTTGAAATAATCATCAAAGTATTTTTCATTGACCCTAATGAAAGACCTGTAACCCTGTATCATTTACTAAAGCTGTTTCAGTCAGACACCAATGCAACGCTGGGGGGAAAAGGACAGTGGTTTCAAAGTTCTATGATGAAATGGTATTTCAAGATTCAGCAGCCATGATGTGAGAATTATTAAGAACATCTCATCCACTAACATTAGAGAGCCTGAAACAGAATTTGCACAACTTGAAGTGAAAACCAGAGAAAAACTAGTAGCTGCCAAGATAAAAACAAACTTTGAAATTGCACAGTTTAAGGATAGATTAAAAGTAATTTGTGAAACTGTAAATTATTTAAAAAATGAAATCAGGAAACTTGCAGATGATCAGACATATAAACAGTTCTGAAGAGAACTTAGTAGTAAGCCAGACTGAAAATAGGCTGACGGGCAATACCTGTGGTTCAGCGGGTAGGGCACCGGCCCCATATACCGAGGGTGGTGAGTTCAAACTCAGCCCCAGCCAAACTGCAACAAAAAAAATAGCCAGGTGTTGTGGCGGGTGCCTGCAGCCCCAGCTCCTCAGGAGGCTGAGATAGGAGAATCGTCTAAATCCAAGAGCTGGAGGTTGCTGTGAGCTATGATGCCACAGCACTCTACTGGGGGCAACAAAGTGAGACTGTCTCTAAAAAAAAAAAAAAGAAAGAAAATAAGATTGACTTTAATGGAGAAATGGACTTAATGCAAATATTACAGTGTTTCTTGGAAGAACTGTAAAGTTGTTCATAGTGGATTTCTCAGCTATAGGGTTAAAATATTTGTACTGTTCAAGCAATCTTTTTTTTGAGACAAATTCTTACTCTCTGTCATCTGGTGCAGAGTACCATGATGTCATAGCTCACAGCAACCTCAAACTCTTGGGTTCAAGAGATCTTCTTGGATGGCACCTGTGGCTCAGTGGGTAGGGCGCTGGCCCCATATACCAAGGGTGGCGCGTTTGAACCCGGCCCAGGACAGCTAGAACAGCAATGACACTGCAACAACAAAAAAAATAGCTGGGTGTTGTGGTGGGTGCCTATAGTCCCAGCTACTCGGGAGGCTGAGGCAAGAGAATCGCTTAAGCCCAAGAATTGGAGGTTGCTGTGAGCTGTGATGCCACAGCACTCAACTGAAGGCAATATAGGGAGACTCTGTCTCTAAACAAAACAAAATGGAGATTTCTTGCCTCAGGCTCCAGAGTAGCTGGGACTACAGGCGCTTGCCACAAGGTCTGGCTAGTTTTTTCTACTTTCAGTAGAGAAGGGGTCTTGCTCTTGCTTAGGCTGGTCTCTAACTTGTGAGCTCAAGCAATCCACCTGCCTCAGCCTCCCTTAGTGCTAGGATTACAGGTGTGAGCCACTGCACTTGGACTGTTCAAGCATTCTTTAATGGAGCATATATGTGTGGGAGAAGATGCTGTATATACACTTTGCCAACCCATTTTAGGAAAATTCTGATGTTAAGCACAATTTTTAAAAATTACCTTCTGACAGGCATCAATTTTAGTATAAAGTATAACTTGTACAAATTTGGTACTTCTCTAGCAGTTAGGATTAGTGATAAAATTAACGTGTATTTTAATTTCTTCAAGTTCTTACATGTCCCCCTCCTACTTCTTTTGTGTATGATGTACCCAGCCAG